ATATGTTCCCAAGTAAATTTGTGTTGAAAATCATTGAACATTTATATGTTCTTATTAGAATCAAATCTTTCTTAGTAGACTGATTAGGATCCTTTATGACATGGCTTAGCTCATTACAGGCACTCAATATATGTCACACACAACAATAATTATTTGTTGAATGAATTAAATGAATAAATACTAACAGAACACAAAGAAAACATATTACATGTTCACTAAGTGCACTCAATCTAGACTCACATTAATAAAATATCCTACCTTTTACAATTCAATTTACAACCACTTAAAAATTAAAGCCACAAAGATATTTTGGTAGGTTTTTGTGTGTGGGTACCCAAAAAAGACTAATAGCTAAATGCAAAATGAGATGCATAAACAATTCAAGGGGGAATATTTCTGAAGACGATCTGCTCTCTTAATTTCATGTGCCATCCATATGAATGCAGAACACAGTTGGTAAACATCCTCACATAACGTTATCAAGGATCACTGCAAAATAGTTGAGATTTTAGAAAACTTCAGGTTGTAATTGTGTATGTGTAGACTCTAGTCTCAAAAACTTCAAACACTTCCACAGTCCGCCAGTTCTCTTTTCTGCCCCTCAGCTCTTACCACTCACACATGCATCTTCCTTGTCTGTCATTATTGTACGGGTATTGGAGCTATTTCATCAGCATTTTCTCCTCCTCCAATGACTTCCATGCCTGATAACCATTGCCCTTGACCTGCAAGCATCTCCCTTGCTCTGTCGACCCCTTGTTGTATTGTTCCAGGCTTCACCCATGAGATCAGACCCCATATTACACAGCAAACGGCCCGAATCCTCCAAAGGGAACTGGCATAATCGTTTCTTGTGCATAATGCTGCAGATTATTTCCAGCAATTCCCGTTTAAATGTTCTGTCTGTGTACTGAACATTGGTGCAGCTGACTGCTCTCTAACCCCAATTGACTGCATCCCATGGCCACATGATAGCTACTGAATGATGGAAAACAGTCCAATAGGCTAAAAAATAAAAGAACACGTCTGGGTCGTCATCTCAAATCTTTGAATGAAATAAGTACCTTACTAATTGTATGTCTATCCTAGCTCTTAAGAGATACGCTGTTTGAATTCATTAGTAGTGTTGCTTTAGAGTTCCGCTGATCCTGATATCTTTAATTGATAGATTATTTGGCCATTTCTGAATCTGGATATATAAGAGAAGGTCATTATATGGATAGCTTCAAGATATAGTAGCTAGCTGATATCTGATTTTTTAACTTTAATTTGAATTTTGATTGCACAGAAATAGTCTTGAAAGGAAACACTTCAACACATTAATCTATTGGCAAGTACATCTCAACCTAGAACACTGTCCGCCTGACAACGGATAAATGTTTCTTTCACTAGAAAAGTCTGAAGTTCTTGTAATCCTGAATACAAAAACAAAACAAAATAAAACTATCAGTGTTACACCATTTGGTTTACTTTCAAAATTTACTCCCCCACTCCCACATCTTGGTTTGAAAAAAAATTTTTTTTCCTAACTAGCTATACACATTAGGGATTTCCAAATACAAGTAGTTTCACCATTTTGTCCTATAACAGACAAATCTAACCCAGCTTTCAAGACACTCTGAGATCACACCTGGGCTGCATGATGACTGGTCAAATGGCAAAAGTTCATACAGTTCACAATTGTGAAGGTAATTTGTAGTTGGTATAGTCTAAGGCTAAGTTTTTGATACCTATTGGTATAGTCCTTAAATGCCCAACATGGACTTTTAGATAATTTATGGCTATTTTACTTTCAGTGGTGACCAAAGAAGTGGAAAGGTATGCATTAGAGTCTCCTTCAATAAATACAACCCCTTCCTTTCTATTACCCTTTTAATAAAACTATCTTATGTTTATATACTACCTTTAGCTTTTCAATTCGTTAAAACCCTCATTTATATTCCCCTAATCAATGCTGGTGGTGAAAGGGGGCCAGGGAGTTAAGATAGAGCAGGTATTCATGATAACCGTTTTATAGATAAGAAAATGTAATACAGGGAGAGCAACAGTTACTTAGTGATTGTAGGAAGAGACTGCTAAGTACCTAACATCCATTCTTCCCTTCCTCCTTTCTGATTCTATTTGGAATAACAATGTATTTAGCAAAAAAAGCTAATTGTTCTCTTTCTTTTTCTAGGTAGCCCAGTGACACAGTTCTGGACACTGAGACATGAGCTGAGGTCTGTTAAATGTTTCTGGGAAAGTTTTTGCTTCACTGATACAGACAGGTTCCACCTCCTGCCTACACCTTCCTCCTGTCTGGAAGATGGATGTGATGGAAAGAGTGACAGTAGCCCTCTTAGACCCATGAGGAACAGGCTAAGAAAATTTTAAAGAGACCCCAGCCTTGACACCCTGAACCTATACCAGTGATTGCCTACTTCTGGACTTCTTTCCACAAGAGAAAAATAAAGCTTTATGTGTTTAGGTGACTGTAATCAGAGGGTTTTTACGCCCAGGCAAATGCAATTCCTCACCATTAGAGTTGGAACTTGAACTTAGGTTCTCGGTTTCCAGCTCTGTCATCTTTCTAGTCTGTTTTAGATTATGGTGTCTACTAATTCCTAGACTATACATTTGACCTATTCTTATTCCTTGCACCCATGAGATATATAGCATCAAGTCCTAGAGGAAGAAAACAAGGGTAGTGTCACATTTTGGATTTGATTTGATTTGATCGGATTATTTGAGCCAAACTGAGGACATACGCCAGGAGGCAAGATGTCAAATAGCTCCTACATCTTGGATTTTAATGGGTTACCTAAGCCCTAAGCAAAAACAAACAAACAAACAAATAAATAACCAAAGCCTGTTTCTGGCATTTCTCACTAATCATGTTTTTGTTGTTGTTGAATGAGCTTCTTTTGTCTCCTGGCACTCACTACCCTTTGGCAGGTGCTGTTGATTCCTATCTAGGCCTGTCTTTTCGTGAGGGCTTGAAGCTCTCAGTTACACTATCTTCTACTACCCTACCACCAGTCACCTCTGATGTGATGAGATGAGAAATGTAGAATGACTGTCGGTTGCAGTAATTTATGGGGGTGTAAACATCATTTTAACAGGTTGTTTACATTTCATTTAAGAGGGACCTGTAAATCCAGTTGAACCACTAAGATGGGAAAGCACTGAGTGAGAGGTTTTGCTGGCACTGCTCGTCTAAGGCTGCTCCTCTGGCCAGCTCAGCCCCTCCTTACAATTCCTCACTGCCCCCTCCATCCCCTCCCAGCACAGGTGGCAACACAGCATAAAGCAGCGATCTCGTTCTCATTGTTAAGGCTGCCAAGTCCTAGAATTCCAGGAACGCTAGAAACAGGGAAGGCAAGGAATGTGTTTTTTGATAATTCTATACATTTAAAAAATATCCTTAGTCGATGTTTTCGCTGTAATACAAATCAGGTAAGTAAAAGCTTTGCACATTGTAGTGTATGTCTGGCATGCTATTAAGCCCCTCTAGTAAATGATTCTTCCTTGTACCTTCCTCTTTTCTCATCTGCTGTCATGTTACTTGGTGTAAAAAGTTTACTTCCTCTGTCAGATCATTCTCTCATAGTCTTTATGTTCCTTCCACGTGCATATCAGTTCTGTAGCGCCTATCGAGGGGAAAAAAACGTTTTAAATAAAACAAAGCACACTCAAGCAGAAAACCTGGCTTCCAGCCTCAGATGTGTGACTCACGGGCTTAATGGTCTCGGGCGCAGCGTTTACCATTCTTGCACCTCAGTGTTCTTAGCTGAGAAACGGTGAGGTCAATTCCCCTTGGGAAGGTCCTGTTCGGTTCCAGGGCTCTATGGTGTAAGCCCTTGTTTACACATGTCATTAATCTTTGCAACAACCTTATGGGGACGGCCAGTTGTGGTGAAGAAACAAGAGGTAAGGGAGGTTTACTGACTTGCCTGCTGGTGCACACCTAGCAGACAGCAGGGCAGGGACATCAACCCAGGCACTAGCCGCCTTTTATCTCCTCAGAGAAGGCTAAGCCACCATTTCCCTATACAAACAGGACAAAAGAGGTCAAATGGGTGAGGCTTTTTAAGGCTCACCTACAAATTCACAGACAGGGGCAGGGGTTTCACTCCCTTAGACCTGGGACTGTAATTGGCCGATATCCTGTCTTTAGGTCACAATGACTGTTGTTTTGTTTCACAGCATTACTATTTTCAAACAGGGTAGAAAGTTCGCTTTATACCTTATAGTTGTTGAGCGTCACTGGGCAATGGAGGATCCTGCCACACAAGTTAAAAAAAAAGAAAGCAGTTTATGAAAAATAAGGTGTGCCCTCTTCTTCATATAGAAGAATGATGGTCAATGAATACCTGTTTATCTTATAATTTACGAAATGCTTTTGTGCTGATATATGTGGGCTTTCTATATTTGGGGGGATAATATAAATTCTAAAATTATTCCTGTATTGGTATTCTTGACATATATCACATACTAACAGAACATATGCATCGGAGTGTAAAATGTTGATTATTCTATTCAACAAGGAAAAATAGAAGATGAGCACTGGCAATGACAACAATTTACTTTGCCAAATGTACCATCCTCTATTTTCACCAAATTCTTCAGGGGACACGGCAGTGGTTAGATGAATAGAGCCCTGGACTAGCCGTCAGAAGATTGAAGCTCTATTTGTGGAACTTGGCACCGACTCACTCAGTGACCATGTGCCTCTCAGTTGATCTCCTTTAAGTTCTCAGATGTTAGCGTTTAGGAGTGTCTCCTAATTCACTGATGCTGTGAATGTTGGTAGAACTGTGTTTGGAAAATGTAGAAAGGATCCGGGGGGCTGGGGTGGGGTGAAAAAAGCCCAAGACTTGAGTCTTAGGCAACTTAGCATGAAGTATCAGTAGTATTTTTTAAAGAGAATTTAAATTTAATTTCTCTATTTCTAAATGTTATCTTTGCTCCTTCAACTGTCTCTTTCTCATTTGCTAGAGAAAACAAACAAACAAAAATCCCTCAACTTTACAGAGAGAAAAGAGGAAGGAAGGAAAAGGGGGTGATTCTGTCTTCTCTTCGCCCCCTCCTGCTTCTGTAAGTCTGACTATGCTCTTTCATAACGATCTGCTGCAGAGTTATTGGGCGGGTTAGTGCAGATACACAGTAAATGGAGGGAGGAATTCCTCATTTTTGAGAAAGGGGAAAGCCCCACGTATTTCAAACTTCTCTCCAGAGCTTGCTTCACTCCTTCATTTGTTCAGCAGTTGCTGAATGCTGCACGTTATGCTCAGCTCTGAGGATAGCAAAACAATAAAGCTACGGTGCCTGCACCCCAGGAACTGCCAACAGATCGGAGGCATTCGATATTGAAACAAATTATTACACTACTGTATGGTGAGTGTGAAGATGAAAGGGGACAGTACAGAGGAGACTGGGGCATCCAGAAGGAGTCAAAGAAGTGGTTGATCAGTTAACCATGGTGGCCAATGGAAGTAAGAGGAAAAGATCATTTTACACATATTGTACGTTTGATAGTAATGGGCTTTAAAAATGAATATTTAATCAAACTGAATTGTACACTAGGCAATGTGCCAAGCAGTGGTAAAATCTATAAAAGCACCGGTTTTGGAATTAGATAGATACAGTTACAACTCCATTTCTGTCTGCAGGTATGACCTTGGGCAAATTGCCTGACCCCTCAAAATCTGTTCCTTCATTTAAAGAATGGAGATTATAGAAGGACCTACAACCTCTTGGGTTGACTGAAGATTAAATCAGAGAATACACATAAGCACCTAGCTCAGTCCTTGGCACCTGGTAAGATGGTAAATATGCAATAACTCCTAGTTATTATTAAGTACTCTGTACATTTTCTGTTTGAACTCTTGCAACAATCCAGTGGGCAGGCATTCTTCACATCAGGTCAATGTAAAGAGCACAGGAGATGCTAGGAAGATAGGTTCCAAACCATGAAAGACTGTGCCACACAAGGAGCTTAGAGGATCTACAGCAGGCAATGGAAACTCTTTAAAGATTTTTAAGAGGGTAACCCAATGAGTTCGAAGTTTTAAAGAGATCATTAAGTGTGGATAAGGGGTTGGAAGGACAAGAAGAAGGATGGTTGGGAGTCCTGTTAGGAATCCCTTGGAGTGAATCACTCTGAGCAGCAGGAGTATGGGAAATCCTAAGTGCAATACTACGGACTCTCAGGAGGGATGGCAGGCAGATCCCCTGGGCCTCCAGTCTCCACCTCTTTCTACATCTCATCACGGCAAAAGCTTTAGGACTTGCCCAAATGCTAATGCTTTCAGCTACAAATTGCACCAGCTTTGGTGCTCTTTTCAGATTGGTTTTGTTACTAAGTGGCATGAGGTTTTAATCATCTCTGAAAAGGCAGCAAGTAAGTTCCCTGCTGGAATTGGAAGAACTAAGTATCAGTGATTGCTTCCTGGCTGCAGGGGAGAAATAGAAAACAGATGCTCTAAAAGTATTTGGCTAGTTTGATTTTTTTTTTGGTCATCTTCCTATGTTGATGATGTCATCGTCACTAATCTACTGCATGGATCAAAGAGTAGTAATTCATACATAATAGCAGAGTTGATATAAAACACTAATATAAAATGCCTCATTTTACCACTGATTTACCACCACACACCTAGTATTTCATCTTTTTCTAGTTCAAAAAGGCCATTTTCATTATCCCAGTGTTAATGTTTCCACTATAAAACAGTAGTCCTTTCCCATTATTTTTGCAAGAGATTCTCAATAACGCAGTGAGTACTTTAAAAAAGCAAGGAATGCAAGGGAATTTTAAAACATATTGAAGGCTACTCTTTTCTCAAAATACCAGAAGCTAGATAATTCAGAAGGACTTGCTTATGTAACAGCATCTGAATATATATACCTTGAGAAATCTATGAGAAACCAGGTTGTCTTTTGAAATAACACCTTTTCTATCCTGAATTCTTCCCTTGCTGCATGTGCTCTGACCCAGTTTTGCTTAACGAGACATGTTTATCAGAGTCGCCTTGATGTCAGGTGTTTGCAAAACATGTACACGTACTTTGAGATACATGTTGTTGCAGACACGAGAGGTAACTATATGGAGAAAAGAGTCAGGACAGAGGAGAAAAAGGGTCTAAGCAGTTGACGCTTTGGGAGATTTGCAATTTTTAAATGATAAAAGAAAAATAAAATGTGTGCTAGCCCTTTAAAAAAGTTATTGAGCACATTAAAACCTGGATGCATCTAAAATATGTTAACTGTCATAGATGTTTAAAAAATGGTTTAAATATTTATGTGATGAAAATTAGAAGCTATAAATGCCCTCAAGAATTTTTGAAATTATGAAGTAGTAAATTGATTTAATGTGTCTGAAAATGAAAAAAAGTATCACAACACTGGTGAGTAATAACCACGAGATCTTTTCCTCAAGTTTGAGGCTTGGTGGTGGTGGTGTTTTTTTGATTTTTTACAAGATCTACAATGTTAAATCAGGAAATAAGCTTTGAGACTTGGAAGAAAAAAATGCAGGAAAAAAAACATTTTTAAATTAAAAACTTACCTCAAGTTTAATAAATGTGTAAGAGATTATTAAAAACTAAGAAAATGAGATACTTTTAAAATAAAAAACATTACAACAGAAATTTAGTCATCCAAACAGAAGGTATTAAGACACCATAAGATCAGAGCAAAAATAAGTAAATCGATTTTGAAAATATGGAAAAGGACTGAATTAAAAGGAAAAGCCACCAAACTTCAGCCAAAGCCACCAATCTTGCACAGAGGATGACATTTGTAGAAAAACAGCTCAAAATATAAAAACAACAAGCAAGAAAAAGGAAAGACTAGTTTTTTAATAATGATTTCCAAAAGTACCTTAATTTTATCATTTATACAAGGTAAAAAGGATTTTCTTAGTAGACCAAGACAGTAAGTATCGTACCTATTCATAATAATCTAATTTCTAAAATAAAATAAAAAAAGGAAAACTATCTGGTTAACTGTATAACCCTGACTTGCCTTTAATAAGTGGGCTTGCTGGCTCCAACCCTGAGATATTTCTAATATGAATGGGTTGTTTTTTTCAGTTTTTAAAAATTATTTACTTTTTTTCCTTGTAAGAATTTATGCTAACACAGACACAGACACAGACACACACACACACACACACACACACACACACACACACACACAAATAAAACCTGGAACTGAGCAACACAGTATTTCTTGATAGAAAATATTTTTTATCCTGAAAATTATAAATAGATTAGTATTTGAAAAGCTATGAAATTAAAAGAGCAAATTTCAAGCTTATAGAAGAGAAAAAGGTATACATTAAATATAATTCAAATCCCAATAATACAGTTACAAATAATCAATTTTATGATAAAATAAGCATATGAAAAACTAGAAGAAGAATAGAGCTCAATGTTTGAATTTTTAAGTGTCATATGTGACATCATTTCCATGTTAGGGGTACAAGTATTATCGTATAGTGCAGAAATACCTTGGTGACTTAGGCGGTTCAGGCTAGGAGACCTAGTTTCCCCAGTTTAGGTTGTCAGCATCTGTCACTAGACTAACCGGTCCTGTCTCCTCAAGTTTATGTTCCAGAGTGAATTATTTCAAACAAATCTGACAGGGAACATTATCTGATGCATACACTAGCCATTTAGTCAGTAACGATGTGGCAGAACAGAGAATGTATAGACACTTGCTCTGCACACTCATGCGCTGTTAGAGCAAACTCAGGATAGCTTTTCTTTTATTCATTTTCGAGCAATGATAAGTCCTTAGTTACACTGAAGGCACAAGTTCATTTCAAACCTGGGCTGAAAGACAGTTTTGACTTTTTGACAATTTTGATAAAACATGGGAAATCAGACCATGTGTGTGTGTGTGTGTGTGTGTGTGTGTGTGTGTGTGTGTGTGTGTGTGTGTGTGGCAGTGGGGGGGGAGGTGCTTCGTAAGCCTCTTTAAGAAAGTTATGTAACATTTATATACAAAAGTTTTCTTATCTGTACAGTGGAAATGTTAGTTCTACTTACCTAATAGGGATTTTATGGAACTTTAAGTAAAATGAAAATGTATGTTAAAGGTTTTTGTAAATTATACAGTGCAGAGCAAATTCAAGTTATTCTCTATTGGAAATAGTAGTAGATTCACAACTGAGACACACTTAAACAAGAGTAACAATTCCAGTGCTCATAGGCATATACGAATGTTAACTGTAAGTGTACATCATCACTAGCTAACGCTGAGGCCTCATCTTATACTATTACCACTCTGTCCAGTCATGCTGGTATTCTCTCTGTTCCGTGAACAAACCAATTCCTTTTCACCTCCTGACCTTGACAGTCACTAGCTCCCTACCTGATTAGCTACTCTGGATCCTTGTATGGCTTCTCATCACTTGGGTTTCATCTCTACGATACCTTCTCAGAGATGCCCCCCATCATTATCCAAGCTAACTGCACCAATGCCCCACCTCGCTCCAGTCTCATGTGATCACATGACTCAAGTATTTTCTTCTTACCATTTATTATCTAAATATCTTATTTCTTTTAGACTTGTTTATGAATGCAAGTACCACCATGTAAGGGCACAGTGTCCTCTTTACAAAGGACCTGAGTGACCAAGCAGTCTGTCACTAATTTAGATTGGACTGTCAACACTTTGGATGAAAGTCAGGAAGTGCATTGTGACCTTGTCCAGTCAGAGAAATAGTCAGCTGGAATGAGATGGCAAACACATGTGAGGATGAAAAACACGTAACAGACTTAGGATAAATGGCTTTGTTTTTTCTTTTGCTTTGTCATTAATTGTTGGAGTTGGCCTAATATGTTAGCAAAAATAACAGTTTGAAAAACAGAATTTCTTATTCTTGTTTCTCAGTACCATGAAACCTGAAGCCTATGAAAAAATAGGTAGCCTGGAAGACATAAAATTGACAATTATCCATATGATGAATTTGGATAGGCAATGATATCCTTTAAAAAAATAAGTTCAGTACATATTTACACATCCTTCAGATAACTGATTTGCCTATAATTTCTATCCTATAGCATATGAAATGTTATTTTAAAATACTTTCACTCATTTAGTCTCATCATCTAAAGCAAATTTTTTTAAGTTAAAGTATATTAGTTTTGGTTTGGTTATTTTAAACCTTTAGTGACATTTGATATAGTAACTTTCTGCCACCCTGAATCATTTTTAATTAAATTTACTGGGATAACATTGGCTAATAGCATTATATAAGTTTTAGATGTACAATTTTATAATATATCATCTGTATATTCCACTGTGTGTGCACCACCCAAAGTCTAGTCTCCTTCTGTCATCATATGAGATGTGATCAAACAATATGGTGAATGCTTAAATAAAAAAAAATTATTACAGTAAAAGACACATTGCCATTAATCCTCCTCAAAGTACTACCCCTCACTTCAAACACACTTATCCCATCGTTCTTGCCACTTTCTGAAGCAGTTCTGGAAGTCCTCTTTCATGAGTGTCTAGTTGCGCTGTTGTGGCTGCCTCGATGTCCTGAATCATTTTGACTTTGGGGAAGAGCCAGAAGTCGCAAGGTGCCAGATCCAGTGAGTAAGGTGGATGAAGACACACCATAAAGTTTTTATTTGACAGAAATTGCCGTATACCAGAAGCAGTGTGTAACACGGAGCCTTTCCATTGTGATCACAAAATACGGTGAATGCTGCTGCCACGTGCCACCCAACGGAAAGGCAGGGATCTTCAATACAGGAAGCAGTGTGTTGAACCTTGTAACAGTGTGTGACAAGTTTCAACTTGTT